CTTTATTACAGGATAAGAGCTGTTATCTTGCCTCATATCAAAGCCCAGCCCTGTCTGAGGTATACTACCATCCCTCTGGGATGCGACCCACTACATCTGACCAACACCCAGGCACCCACTTAATGCTAGGTGAACAGGGATAGCAGGTGTGAGGAAACATGCCCAACGTTTCCTACTGTGCCGGGATCGAACCACTGACACTTAGTATGCTATGTGAGTGCGCTGCCAACCTAGGCATAGTAGTACTTCTCTATAGGTCTATAGTAGAAAATCATGCTGTCAACCAACTACCAGTCAGTTCAGCCCAGCGAAATAAGCCAGATAAAATTTGTACATGTATGTACTTGCGTTTGAGCAAGTACATACAAGTACTTGCTCAACACCAGAATTATGTACACTATGTAGTGTTCACAGTTCAGCTCAAGATAACCATATAACTGAAGAGAGTTATAAGAACATAAGAACATAAGAACGAAGGAACACTGCAGAAGGCCTACTGGCCCATGCGAGGCAGGTCCAAGTCCCTACCGGCTTAAGCCAATGCACCCAACCTAGTCAGGTCAGGTCACATTGACTTAAGGGAGGAACACGGCAACCGACCTGTTAGCACAAGCTATCAGGTCCAACTCACACCCACCCACATCTACTCATGTATTTATCCAACCTATTTTTAAAGCTACACAACGTTCTGGCCTCTATAACGGTACTTGGGAGTTTGTTCCACTCATCACAACTCTATTACCAAACCAGTACTTTCCTATATCCTTCCTGAATCTGAATTTTTCCAACTTAAAACCATTGCTGCGAGTCCTGTCTAGGCTAGATATTTTCAGCACACTATTTACATCCCCTTTATTTATTCCTGTCTTCCACTTATAAACCTCAATCATATCCCCCTAATTCTACGTCTTTCTAGAGAGTGCAGTTTCAGGGCCCTTAGTCTATCCTCATAGGGAAGGTTTCTGATACATGGGATCATCTTTGTCATCCTCCTTTGTACATTTTCCAGAGAATTTATATCCATTCTGTAATACGGTGACCAAAACTGTGCAGCATAATCTAAATGAGGCCTAACCAAGGATGTATAGAGTTGAAGAACAACCTGAGGACTCCTATTATTTATGCTTCTTGATATGAAGCCAAGGATTCTATTAGCTTTATTGCGAACACTTATGCACTGTTGTCTTGGTTTCAGATTACTGCTAACCAGAACTCCTAAATCTTTTTCGCAATCCGTAATATTAAGATCTACATTATTTAGTTTATATGTGGCATGGTTATTGTCCTGTCCAACATTTAGAACTTTGCATTTGTCTATATTAAACTGCATCTGCCACTTCTCCGACCACTGCATCAGTCTATTCAAATCTTCCTGGAGTGCTCGAATGTCCTCGTCAGAATGAATTCGACGGCCTATTTTGGTGTCATCGGCAAACTTGCCGATGTCGCTCTTTATGCCCTCATCTATGTCGTTTATGTAGATTGTGAACAGCAGGGGGCCCAACACTGACCCTGTGGAACACCGCTCGTGACGCTTCCCACTCTGATTTCTCCCCATTTATGCAAACTCTCTGCTGCCTATTTGTCAACCATGCCTCTATCCAGGAAAAAATTTCTCCTCCTATTCCATGTGCTTTAATTTTCCTCAATAGTCTCTGATGTGGGACCCTGTCAAAAGCCTTACTGAAGTCCATATACACAATATCATATTCATTACCATGATCTACCTCCTCAAATACCTTAGTGAAAAAAGTTAATAAATTCGTAAGGCAGGAACGCCCCTTTGTAAAACCATGCTGAGATTCGTTGATTAATTTATGCTTTTCAAGGTGGCTACGAACTGCCTCGGCAATTATTGATTCCATAAATTTTCCCACTATGGAGGTTAGGCTTATTGGTCTATAGTTCGAAGCTAAGGACCTGTCACCTGTTTTGAAAATAGGTATCACATTTGCCATTTTCCACTTATCTGGCACCATGCCAGTTTGTAGTGATATGTTGAAAAGATTAGCCAAAGGTGGTGCTAAGCTCCTCTTTACATTCCTTTAGAACCCTTGCATACAGTTCATCAGGGCCTGGGGATTTGTTAGGTTTTAATTTATCTATTTGCCTAAGGACCATGTCATTGTGACCCTAATAGTGCACAGTTTATTATCGTCCTGTTCTACATAATTTATCATTACTGGAATATCGCTGGTATCCTCCTGTGTAAAAACTGAGAGGAAGTATGTGTTAAAAATTCTACACATTTCCTTATCACTGTCAGTGAGCTGACCCGAGGAACTTTTGAGTGGGCCTATCTTGTCCCTGATCTTACTTCTGTATACCTGAAAGAATCCTTTTGGGTTAGTCTTCGATTCTCTTGCAACTTTAACCTCATAATCTCTATTTGCTTTTCTAATTCCCTTTTTTATTTCTCTTTAACTGAATATATCGATTTCTTAATTGCCCCTCTCCTCTTTTGATTTGCCTATATATGCCTCTCTTTTGACCAATCAGATATTTTAATCTATTGTTCATCCATTTAGGATCATTTTTGTTTGATCTGATTTCCCTATTTGGAACATAATTTGACGAGCAGCTAGAACTATGCCCTGGAAAGCATCATATCGGCAACCATCACACCTACCTGACCCTAGTCAGGTCATTCCAGTTCAGCCCACCTAAGTAATTTTTCAGTCCTATGAAATCAGCCAAGCGAAAGTCAGGGACGGAGACTTGTTTGCCATTATTAGGGGAATTCCATGATATGTTAAAACTGAGTGATTTGTGATCACTCTCCCCAAGCTCATCATTAACCTCAAGATTATTAATTAGTGTTTCCCAACTGGCAAGAACCAAGTCAAGGAGGTTATTTCCCCTAGTTGGCTCTGTCACAAACTGTTTTAAAAAACAACCCTGGTTTCGTATCAAGAAAGTCACCCGACTCTAAATTTCCTGTCAAATTGCTCCAGTCAATCTGTCTATAGTTGAAATCTCCCATTAGCACAACATTTTCGTATGTAGATGCCTTACGAATTTCGTCCCATAGAAGTTTACTGCACTCCCTATCAAGATTTGGGGCCCTGTAAATCACACCCAAAATTAGTTTTTCCCCGGCCCTCGAGAAGCTGTAACCAAAACAGATTCAGTGGCTGACGCTTCAAATTTTAAAATATCTTGTCTAACACAACAATTTAAATTGCTCTGAAAATACATCGCTACTCCACCCCCTTTTCCCTGTTGACCCTGCAGTGTGGAATAATTTATAGCCTTGTATGTGACATTCAGAGGGCATCTCTCTATCTTTCAGATTAAAGGCCAGGTCTCTGTTATAGCAATAATATCTATGTTTCCTGCACTTGCAATTAATCTTAGCTCATCTATCTTATTTCTAACACCCCTGCTATTATTATAGTAAACCTTAAGGGAGCTAGTCCCTTGTTTGCCCTCTGCTGTCCCCCTTTGTTTGCTGACCTGTTCTATTGTCTTTATTTATAACTTCATGCTAAATGCCTTTTAAAACATTTACTGTTTCCAACCTAGTGTTGCAACCTGCTTGTTTCCCACACACACCCATACCTCTATCTTCCATCAGTTAAAATCATAGGCATTTCACCAATGGCCTTCTCAATCGAGTCTGAAAAGTGCTACCACCCCTGCCCCAGAGAGATGAACCCCATCCCTTGCATACATATCATGTTTGCCATAAAAGTTGTTCCAGTTGTCAATAAATGGGATTGCAAGTTCCTTGCAGTATCTGTCTACCCCAGCAATTTACACCAATTGCCCAGACAACCATTCATTTCCTACTCCCCTCTAGGAAATGCTACATATGATTGGGATCCCTTCCCTTAGACTTAATGAAATCTATAGCTGACCTGTACTTATCTAGCAGCTCTTCTCTCCTACCCTTCCAATATCATTTCCACCAGCACTGAGACAGATAATGGGCTTGTTCCCAATTTCCTGACATGATATTATCCAGTCTGTTGACAATGTCCCCAACAAACCAGCTCCAGGGAAGCACACTCTATCTCTCATCTTCTTATTCCTAAATTTCAAAAAGCACGATCAACATATCTTACCTGAGAGTCACCAACCACAAGAATGCGCTTACCTTCATTAGCAGGGGGAGTAGTACCCTTACCTTCACTGGCCACTGAAGTACATTCATCTGGAGAACAGAGAAGCGATTTCCTACCTTCAGATCTGCACTCTTAACTTTCCTTACTCTGATGCGCCTCCCATTACTGTGAAAAAACTCGCCACTTGTAGCAGGTGCTGGGCTGCACCTCACTGCTGGTAGCCGTTGCTACCACCCCACCTACAGCCTCCTCACAGTGAGAGACAGACTGCACCTCACTGCTAGAAGCCTCATTCCCCACATCTCCAACCACCTCACACTCTCTCCCAGGCCCATTGAGGTGGACCTTCAGCCTCCTAATCTCCTCCTGGAGAAGCAAGACCACCTCCTTCAACTCTCCAACCTCAGCTTTTAAAACACTGTAGAAGCAAGCCATGCTTTGTAACCGTCCACGCTAATCCCCAAGCAGCTCAGGGTCTGTGACCTCACGTGACGAAATATGAGAGCCCTCACTGCTACAGCAGTGTGCCAGCTGAAGGTTAGTGAGGGTCTGCTAGGCTTAAGCGTTTCATAGAATGAGGTAATTGCTCAGCAAAACCACTCTCACTCTGCAACGTCAGAATGCTTGAGCACCTTGACTGCCCCGACCTCTCTAAAGAAGTCGACTCAGCACTCGATGGCTCAGGTTCAGCTTATTTTTAGCTGGCTGAGATGACCTGGAGTATTGTGGTTTTGTATGATGTGTGTCGAATACAGAGAACACTACATCATTACAAAGCAACACGGTAGACAGCAATGCAAAATGTGCCCTACTAGTGCACTAGGCACACACCTCACCAACTTCCTTTGCTTACTAATACAAGGCTTGTCTAGGACCTTCCTTTGCCTACTATCAGAAGCCCTGACTAACAACTATTCCTGGTTACTAGCAAACAAGTGCTTACCATACTAAGGGTCAAATTGTTGGTGATGTGAGCCTCGGGGATGTCAGTGGTAGTCACTGTGTTGTTGAACACCCAGCTGAAGGTCACTTGCTGTGGGTGGGAGTCCACGTCACAGGTAACGTTAACCATCTCGTTGTGAGCGACACCGTACACCCAGCGCTGCCCAGGCTTGCACACAGGCGAGTCTGCACAAGAACAACACACAATTACCACATATGAAATGGAATTTACATACGTGAAGCTATTTAAAAATTAATAAAAGAGTGAGTCGTGGGATCTTATTATATTTTTCCACTTTCTTCTTTTTTCATTTAATATTTATTCTAACTTGTTGTTATTGTAACTCGGAGTTGCTGCTTTGAGAGAAGATGTGTTCATAGACATGCTTGGCGACAAGCATTAGAAAAAGAATGATGCTGGTGTCAAACTGTTCCTTGATTCGGGTGTAGCTGTCAACATCAGGTCAAATCTTTTCCATGGCATATAGGCTTGCATGTTGCAATGTTAACAGAACCATCAAAAATCCAAACTCTTCTCGGAGATTCAACCACCATTTTATTTTAACTAATGGGTGATTAGTTAACATACAGATTTCTAGTGGTCGACAACATCGAAGTGACTTGAGACCTGATTGATTTCAAAACAATGGTGGCTCGAAGATTCTCATCGATCTCACCAATTGGAATGATACACAGATAACTCGTTCGTAGGAGAGTGAAGCTTAGGACGACTTTAAAAGCTTATTCTGCTATGCGGATTATTTGTATATTGTTTCAGTTACGGTATTGTGCCTTGGAATGTGGAATTGTGGAATGATGTACCTCTCTGGGGCATGTGATTCAGAGAAAAAGAACTGCCTCCCGTCCTCTGAGCGCATGTAGCATCGACACACATTCAATGTACGAAGATCCAGGAATTAAAAAAAGTTAGAAATGTTTAGGGCAAAAGAAAGAGACAAAGAGAGAGAGGGAGTTTGCTGTGCAACAAGCAGCAGGTAATAGGGTAGATGCATTTAACTTGGAAAAGCAATAAAATTTATGCCCAGATTTTTAGAAAAAGACCCAAGCTAATTTTTCTTGTTTGAAATGATTGCCAGATCTCAGGTTTCAGACACATCTTCAACCAGTCAGGCAACCATTTGTTCCGAACCTTGCAAACTGTACGCTTCACATCACACCGATGAACAGAACAAAGCTATGAGAAAAAGGCAGTCAGAAGACTTTCAGATAAATCATGACTCCAGCATTTTCTCTGTTCGTTCGTGATTCTGATTAGTAATTGATGAACAGCGTAAACTCTGATGGCTGGTTACTGTTTAGATCATATCATGGTTTCTGTGAATAAAGTTACAGCTAATACAAAGGCAGACGTCTCTTTGTCAGCGTTCGTGCCTATTCTGTCTAAAGGGGATCACATGCCAGCTGACAGTAACTCGTGCAGAGATAATAATGTTTGCTGAAGAATTCTCGCACACTGTAAGTAGCGGAAGAATACAAAATCATGTTGGTAATGATAGCAGTAGAGATTTGAAACTGAAGGACAGCACCTCCCTGGTTAACTTGATATGATATCCACTCGTTGTGACGGTGGAGGGCGATGTTCTGACGGTGAAGGGCGATGTTGTGACGGTAAAGGGCGATGTTGTGACGGTGAAGGGCAATGCTGTGACGGTGGAGGGTGATGTGTCGACAAGTCAGCTTGTATGTGATGCTCTTCCAGAGGTCTCTGCTGAGCCTTCTAACCAACCACTCTGTGGTGGATGGTGACTTAGCACTAAGACACTACCCATTAACGTCCCTTGACTTCTCAAGATTGTCAATGATCTCCATAAAAATAGCCAGTTGAACTTAAAGGTAAACATATTGGTCTGAACTCACTTATCATTCATTAATAGTCATCATCATAATAATAATAATAATAATAATAATAATAATAATAATAATATAATAATAATAATAATAATAATAATAATAATTATTATTATTATTATTATTATTATTATTATTATTATTATTATTATTATTATCATTATTATTTTTATTATTATTATTATTATTATTATTATTATTATTATTATTATCAACACAAATAGAAACAAATAATAATTAATTTTTGTATTATATTTCCTGAAGTACTGAACTATTAGGACATTGAGTCAGATAATCACCAATCAGTCAGGCTGTTTGTGCACTGACAAGATCCTCTATAAGAAGGAAGAAGGTGAAACCATGTACTTACACTTAACCTGTAGCAGGATGGGTGTTGATACACCTTGACCCTCAACATTGGTTGCTCTGCAGGTGTAGCTGCCCGAAGTGTACCTCTCTACTCTCTGTAGCACCACGCTCATGTTGGACACAACCACACCACTGCTGCTGCTGCTACTGGTGCTGCTGCTGCTGCTGCTGCTGCTGCTGCTGCTGCTGCTGCTGCTGCTGCTGGTGTTAACTCCAAGCTGTTTACCCTGTGAGGGCAAGACCAGGCAGGGTGTAGTGTCAGGAAGACCAGGCAGGGTGTAGTGTCAGGGAGACCAGGCAGGGTGCAGTATCAGGGAGACCAGGTAGGGTGCAGTATCAGTGAGACCAGGCAGGGTGCAGTACCAGGGAGACCAGGCAGGGTGTTGTGTCAGGGAGACCAGGCAGGGTGCAATATCAGGGAGACCAGGCAGGGTGCAGTATCAGGGAGACCAGGCAGGGTGCAGTATCAGTGAGACCAGGCAGGGTGCAGTATCAGGGAGACCAGGCAGGGTGCAGTATCAGGGAGACCAGGCAGGGTGCAGTATCAGGGAGACTTCTTAAATTCGAACACACATTAGTGGTCTTCCTATATAATGAGAATTTAAAACTCCTATCGACCTTATGGATCAGAACATCTAGTTCAACTGAGAAATTAAATGAGCAACTAAGATCACAAAGTCTAGGTTGGAACTCAACCAAACTCTTATCTATCGGTAAATATGTTCGTAGATTTCCCAACTGAAGCTTATCGTTACGTATTTAATGTTACTCACGTTGTGGTACCAGAGGACGGAGGTAGGGGCGGGAAGGGCGTTGACAGAGCAGGTGAAATACACGTCCATACCTTCCTTGATGTCTTGCAGCTGGAGACGTGAGTCCAGGTTGATGTGCACCTCAGGAACGTCTGAAGAAATAGGTGGTTAATTCTGAGCTCAGGAAACAGGTGACTCATAGGGTAGTGGCAGTGACTTTGATTCACTACCTTGAGACCTGGGTTATATCCTGACGAAGGTGAAGACATGGGACAAGTTTCCTTGCACCTGTTGTCATTCTTCACGTAGTGGAACTAAGGAACAATTGTATTAATCGACTGTTGTGGGTCGCATCCTAGTCAGAGTTAGATGCTCTACTAAGCCTTATTGTTCCTGCTGTCACTGTTCACATAGCTATAAATTGGCACGTGGAATTAGTTAATTGTTGTAACAACCGATGTTTGGTAGTGTGACTTAGATAAAGCTGGGCTTCGAAATGAGCTGAGGTAGGGTAAGAGATTTTAGCTTGTAAATTAAACTCAGTAAAAAAAGTGTCTAGTGTAATGTATTGGCTGAAGCTTCCCTGCTTATGCTTCTGTTGGTATTACCAGTACACAACATTTACATTTTTTCCGAAATAAACTACCCACTGCATGTACTAATTATTTTTTTATTACCGGTAATGATAGTAGTAGTACCCCTTATAAAAGTAATATTTAATACCAATCGAAACTTTAAAGAATGTGATAATATTATTCAAATATTTATAATCAAAGAAATGCATTTAATCTGTTGTGAGAAGTACACATCATCTTGCTACCATACTACACAAACATCTCAGTTTTTTTTTTGTTTTCTTAATCGTTCATAATATTACAGTATTCATTTTCATCTTTATGGGGATGTGGAGAAGAATCTTTCATCTGTAAGCCGTGCGTGTCGTAAGAGGCGACTAAAATGCCAGGAGCAAGGGACCAGTAACCTGTTCTCCTGTATAATTCACTAAATTGAAATAAAGCTTTTTAATGGTGGGATGTTTGAATGGGCATTGATGTAGTACAGAAGATGATAAAGAGTTGATTGTAAATGTTATGAATGAAAAGAAGCTGGATGCTGTACCCCTAAGCGAAATGAAGCTCAAACGGGGTAGGTGATTTTTCAATGGGAAGAAATAAATGGGATTAGGTTAGGTGTATCTGAGGGAACCAGAACTAAAGAAGAAGCAGTAATTTTAAAACATCAGTTATGGGGGGAAAAAATGGAATATAAATATATAAATTCAAGGATTGTGTGGATTAAAACAAAGGTGGGATGCGAAAAGTGGGATATTTTAAGTGTTTATGCACCTGGGGAAGAGAGAGCGTAGAGAGAGAGAGAGAGAGAGAGAGAGAGAGAGAGAGAGAGATTTGTGAGATTTTGGGGTTTTTGAGCTAAGTGAGAAAGTAATTGTTGTGGGTACCTACCTACATGCTAAAGTGGGAGACACTGATGTAACTGGTGTAACAAGTAAGCTTATAAATTTCAGGTGTACTAAAAGGTTAGGTAATAGGTAATACTTATATTAAGACAAAGAGGATAAATAATAAATACATGAGATGATATAGGGCATAATGACAGCAGTTAGGTTAGACTATGAATTATTATATAAAAGATTGATGGATAGACTTCTGGAAGTGCATGATTTTAGAGGGCAACAGATATATCAGACCATAATTGATCATCGATACCATGCCTAACCCTTCTAGGGTAGGGTAGGTGCCTGAGCCCGAGCCTTTAGCTCATAAGACTGTCATTCCCATTAGTCCCCTTGGGGCGGGGACGGCAGACCAGAGAGGCCTAGCTTGTGGCTAGGCCTGGGGACAGTTGGTCCCAAAGATGAGGAGGTACTTGTGCCTCCTCCCATGGGAGACTTAGGTCTCAGACACTCCCTAAAGAGGGAGCCATGTCCGGGCCACCACTTGGAAAAGGCCCGGGCCGGGAGAATACCAGCTAATCTTTAATAATAATAATAATAATACCATTATTTAGTTGTAGCTACAGTGAAAGTAAGATGAGGTACAAAGAGAATGACATCAGTGAGTAAGAGGGTAATGTAAGCTTATAAATTAACAATAGGAGGAGGCAGTGAAGGTAAAATAGGCAACTGTTGGGAGAAAGACGGGCTAGAGAGAGTATATGTAATGGGAAGGAAATCAAAGAGGTATGGGTTAGATTTAAGAATGCAGTGCTGAAGTGTGTAGAAGAAATTTGCGGATATTGGAGGATAGATGCAGGAGGGAAGAGGAGCTGTTAGAGGAATGACAAGGTTATGCCATTGTTCTTATAACCACATACTATATTCTTAAGTATCTTAGTGTCTATTTTTTGCGTTGAAAATTATTTTGACTGAGCAAACCACATTGTAACCACATTACCCAATGATTAGCAGCAAGTGTGCTATTTTTTTTATTTTTTTCCACAGTGTGGTCCGTGGCTAGATCATCGTAACACATCCCTCAGGGTTACAGGTCACACCCTGTGGTAACCACTTGTTTACTGACACGCTACAGTCAGTCCTGGTGTCGGATGCATACGTCGACCGTGCACCTTGTACAGAGAGAAACTATGCTATGCTTGCTGACTCATTCTATTCACGTCATACCACTTGAGTCGTCTTGCCTACGACTCCCAAACATAGTGGCATTCTCTAGTAATGACCGCCTCAACTGGCATGACTGAATATTTTACATTACAGTGGACCCCCGGTTAACGATATTTTTTCATTCCAGAAGTATGTTCAGGTGCCAGTACTGACCGAATTTGTTCCCATAAGGAATATTGTGAAGTAGATTAGTCCATTTCAGACCCCCAAACATACACGTACAAACGCACTTACATAAATACACTTACATAATTGGTCGCATTGGGAGGTGATCGTTATATATGATAATGTAACATTGAGAATTTATCCAGAGGATTTATAGACCTGTATTAAACCAGTCATGTTTCTGTCTGTTTTTTTCCCTGTCTTCCACTATCATTTCCCAAGCATTTAATTGGCAATCAAGGTATGACATTTTCAAACGTCAAAGTTTTTAAGTACTGCATTAATCACTGCTTTGTGACAGTGTTACAAAATGCACTACCTCGCTGCTACGTCTTCTCGTTCATTCGGGAGACAAGTAACTCTAAATATCCCCTAACAGCAGCTGGCGAGTATCCCAGCTGCTACTATGTTTGACCTGTAGAATATAGGTTAAGAAATTTGTGTCATTGTGATGTAAATGGTTCAGAAAACTGACAAGTTGAAGAATGAGGCACATATCCAACATTTGTTAATCTGGTGTTATGTACAGTTACTTTAGGCATCGGTCTGAATGTTGTGTGTGTCGTATTATTAAAACACCAAGTGACTGTACTAATTACTGTACTACTCTTTTTCCTTCTATCTGGCTGTCGCTAGGAAGTAATTCATGGGAGTTACTACAATCATCCTACGACAAGTTTCCCTGTTACTAGTATACGTTGTTTTTAGAATTTTCTTCCACCTCTACACTGTTCCTACATCTCAGATTAACTACAATGTTCTTATACTATATAGATTACTCTTGCTGTTCATAATGCTGCTACGCCTTAACAAAAAAAAAAAAAAACTGAAAGATAGCCTACAAATCACCCAGAACAAAATGGTGAGATTCATCCTGGACCTGGGCCCAAGAGAACATGTAGGCCAGGATGAATTACAATAACTGGATATGCTGAATGTTGAAGACACTGCAAAACAACTGAAGTTAAATCACATTTACGAAATGGCTCACAAGAAGTGTTCACAATATCTTGCTGCCAAGTCTGTCAAGGCTGGGAGCCAAGTATTAGGGAAAGGGAGCACAACATTGTAGTATCCACAGTCAGTGGTCAGGCCTCATAAGCCTTTTATTGTACAGCAATAAAGGAGTGGAACGGACTGCCTGCACATGTCAAAGCCTGTCATAGCATGAGCCAGTTCAAGAAGAGAGCCAAAAAGTACCTAATGAATGTAGCGGTAAAAAAGGGACGAGAGTGATTTCTTGTATAACTAACATACATGTACCTATTACTGTGATCTGATCCTCTCTTTAATGTTAATATAGATCAGTTGAGTTACTTAAATGTTTTAACTTTTAAAATTTAAAATAAAAAGATATTACAATGACCCCAAATAGAAGTAAGTCGCTTTTCTGACTTTTTGGGGGGTTATGCTAGATAATCTACACATATGCTGCTATGTATGATAATTGATGCACGTGTGTTTATGTGTACCTATACCTGAATAAACTTACGTCACACATCCCTTCCAGGATTGTTATTGGTTGGGCTTCCAGCCTCCTGTATATAATACAGATACCTATATTAACTAATTTAAGTGTTAATTTTCTGCACTCAGCATAATTCTATATCTACTGATAAGAATATCAAAAAGTTGTTTAAATGGAAAGTTAGCGATTTTAATTTGTAAAATTTTTAATCTCTTGTTATGTATGCATAATTTTTTAATCATAATTGACAGTGTTGAAGGTTTCTAGATTCCGTCCACAAGACACACTGAATTATAATAATAATAGTGATTAATATTAGTAAAAAATATTAGTGAGATACAACAGCGCTTAACTTAATCATCCACTGGGGTGTAGCTACTGTAAATAATAGGTTTATTTTAAATACACATGCGCTTATATTAGCAACAAAATAAGTAAGAAAGAAAAAGATTAATTTTTTTTACAATTTCCGAGAGGTGTATAACAAATATATTATGTTGATATAATCTATAGTTGAATAATTCAATAAGTCAAACACTAACTCTCATTTGTGGAGACGTTCTCCAGTTTTTTTTTTTCTCCGCGGAAGACAATTTGGTTACCAAAATGGGCACAATTTAAAACCAAGGGACAGATTCTTTTGCGGGAAACATATCAGCATTGAAGGTACGAAGCCATAAGATACGTTCTCTAGTTACAACACAAAAAAAAAATTACAAAAATTGCATCTACACGGTCGATACTATTCAGAATTGTTGCATTTTATCAGAATAAAGCGCCATATTGGTTAAGGTTACATATTACCTCAAAACTAAAGTGGAAAACTGCAGTAATTTAGTACTTTAAAAAGTATAACATTTCGAGATTAAAGAGAGAGAATGGCACCTGCTTAGTATATTAACATTAGCAACTTTCTTCTACATACACGAGTGTTGAAGATTCTAAGCCGATTAAGAGTCTGAAATTATCGACTGGACACCAATTATGTAAATAGTCAGCGTAAACAGAGAAGAGAGGACCTGCACTTGCAGGTCATTCAGAAGAAGAAATACCTGTTAATTAATTCATGAAATATAATACTAACCATTTCGAAATTATATTTAACAAATTGGTTCCCACATATTTTCTTAACATTACTAACATTTTCCTAAGTTGGATTAACCGGTGTTGAAACGTTGAAGCCGATCAGAAGAGGCTTTCTAAAGTTATTGTGTGGAAGCCAAACTCAGGAATGATCTATATAGAATGCATCAGCGGGAACGTGAATATGCTAATTATTTCATGAATCTTCGTCTAATTAAAGTGCAGAAAACTTAAGGTTGTTTCAGTAAGGAATTTTTAAGTTACAAGTGAAAGTATTTAAAGAAGTTAGTGAAAGGAGAAAAAAAGTCAGAATGTGTCGATTCTGAATAAATCAAACGAAAATATCTTTTTGAAAACGCCACAAAAACACGAGTTTTCAATATTTCTCAGTTTTATTCCAATTAAAACCTCTTCAGTTCTAATAAAAATAATAATTTTCTTTAATTTTAATAGGCCAGTTCATAATGCTTCTCAATAAAATTTGGAAACTGGCTTCTACCCCGATCAGATTCTATAAAAAATAGTTCCCATTGTACCTTAGCATAAACCTGCGCTTACATTCTCTGGTTATTACTTGGTAACCCCATTGCCCCCATTGCATCTTCCTGCTTCTTCACCCATAAGCTCACTTGCCTCCTACAACCTTGCTCTCACCTTTCCTGAACATGTTCACACTCATTCACACAATGATGGTTCTATATCTCTCGATGTTCTCAGTCATGCGGCTTTTTTTTTTACCAGTGGGAAAACCCCGATGACATTTACTAGAGCTGCCTAATATTTTCACAGCAGTTTACTGCAGTTTTCACTGCTGTCATACATATTATGACTGCTATCTTTGTCATTCGTCGTTCTTTTCCGACTCCCAAAGTGTATTACAAGCTGTCCAGACATTCAGCTGTGCTCATAATGTTGTGCTTCATACACAGTATTGGTTATGTCACATTTACGAAAGTCTCCAGATTTTGCACAATTTCATCAATTCCAGCTTTTTGTATTTTTCTTTCATTGCGATGACAAGTTTTCACTTACAAAAAATCAAACTTATGGAATAGTATCTAGTCCATAAGATGGATCAACTACTGAAGATTGAAACCATTCTAAAGAGGATTACTTAAATATATTTAACGTGATGAAACATGGTAAAAAAATAATTACTGTTTTGCAAATAGTGTTCATTTTCTCTCTCCGTCCTCGTCAAATTAATATGTATTGTTTTGAAATATCTGAAGCCAAGCAGAAGAGGCTTTTGAAGGTTATTAGACTAATTCCACTAAGCTCAGAATCGGCTTTATAACATTGATCATAGGAAAACTATATGTGCAAAGAGTGGTATAAACCCTTTACTGTGTGTAGTGATCCAGCGTTGAAATATAAATCCTTTACTGCGTGTAGTGATCCAGCGTTGAAATATAAATCCTTTACTGCGTGTAGTGATCCAGCGTTGAAATATAAATCCTTTACTGTGTGTAGTGATCCAGCGTTGAAATATAAATCCTTTACTGCGTGTAGTGATCCAGCGTTGAAATATAAATCCTTTACTGTGTGTAGTGATCCAGCGTTGAAATATAAATCCTTTACTGTGTGTAGTGATCCAGCGTTGAAATATAAATCCTTTACTGCGTGTAGTGATCCAGCGTTGAAATATAAATCCTTTACTGTGTGTAGTGATCCAGCGTTGAAATATAAATCCTTTACTGTGTGTAGTGATCCAGCGTTGAAATATAAATCCTTTACTGTGTGTAGTGATCCAGCGTTGAAATATAAACCCTTTACTGTGTGTAGTGATCCAGCGTTGAAATATTGAAGCCGACTAGAAAAAGTATTTTGATGTCTAACTAAAGTCTGGGGAAGAAATTACAGAAAAATAAACAAATCATGCAACCACTTAAAATTACCCATATGGGGACGCTTAATAACCCAACCAACTCAAGTTCTAATAATATTATATTCTTTTCCAAGCCAAAGGAGGGAAACCTAAAGAAGAAACACATTCATCATCACTCGTTTAACAGCTCCCTTGTTAGGTAAAAGGAACAAGTGCAACTAATGCGATATTTTATTGAGGCAACGTTTTGTTCTCAGGAGTTTTGTCTCGCCATATTAGCTGCACTTGTGTCCTTTTTCCTAACATATTGTCGGTAATTCTACCAGCATTATTACAACACTGTAATGATCCTACGAGCTTAACATCCCTTCATCTCATTCAGAGTGCAGATGCTCTGCTTGCCACACCGGAACTCAAGTCTGGTTAACCAGTTTCCTAGCACACACTCCAACAGCTTGTCAAATCTTCTGTCTTCCCTCACGCGGTTCCAACACGGCCACATGTACTTCCATGATGATCAAACCCCTACCACTCAAAAATCGCCTCTTCAACTTCCTTTCGTGAGATAACCCATACCATCCATCCATCCTCCCTGGGTTTACAACCCTCTGTTCATCCTATTTTGCTAATTTCTAAGTAACCAGATTATCTTTGCAACAACCCTCTCATCCTTCACTTGAATTATTTCCTTCGTTTATTCAGCCGAATATTAACAAGCCCCCAGACAAGACATCTTGACCAGTCTCCTCCTCGGTACGTCATTTAAAGTCCATCCATCACACCCAAATAAAAAGAAAATGAACAACATTGATGAAAACCTAATTGTACACAAGTACTTTATATATCCTCGTTTATTAGGTGACAATCCTCTTCTTCGAAGACCCATTCATCATTTTGCCCATATTGATATTGCGTATATGTTATCATAAAATCATTTATATATATATATATATATATATATATATATAATATATTTATATATGCATTTAATTCTATATATATGATTATTGTAAGTAAGTGTACTCAAAGAACCTACAGTGGACAACGAGTTTGGTGCCATCTTCGAGTGATGACTGAAGCAGTCCTGGAGTTTCTGCTCTGCAGGAGAGGTAGCGACCCTGGTCCTCAGGAGTGGCCACAATCACCACCTTGCTCTCAGTAACATTACCGTTGTCGAGTAGTCTCTCGCCGCTTGATCTAAGTGGCCGTCCATCCAACCACCAGCTTACTGTGGGTGAAGGCCTCGCCCCAACCACGATACACACCAAAGTTACACCCACTCCCGCGGAGATTGGTCCATCAACACCTATGAGGTCGATGGACATGGGCGGTACTGTGGAAGAAGTTAAGTGAGTGATGTAGTGAGAGGAGTTTTATCTGCACAAATAACCCGTATGTTGAAGAGAGAAGCTTATGACGACGTTTTGGTCTGACTTGGATCATTTACAAGCCACACATGTAAATGGACCGAAACTGACCGATACGTGGTTATAAGCTTCTCTCTTCTATGTGCGGGTTATATGTGTGTTGTTCCAGCCAAGATATTGTGCCTTTTTGTTCTTATAGGGCTGCATACATGTGAATGCAATCTTGTCCTCTAAATCTGTAGGAGCTCCATGACAAAGTAACAGAAGCGAGGCAGGAGAGAGAAAGGTGCGTGGACTGCTTATTCTTGGACTGCAAGAAAGCATTTGAAACGGTACCTCACAAGATACTAGACAAAACTTGAAGAGCAGCATGAAATGGACTAAAGCGGATCGAAGAATACTGAAGGAAAGGAGAAAAATATTTATCGTGGAAGAGATGCCAACACAGGAATGCGTAACAAGCCATGTCCTGATTGGGTCACTACTGTTTCTGGTATATGTGTGAATGATTTACCAGAATGACAGTCATATGTATCCCTATTTGCAGATTAAAAATCAATGAGGACACGGGAGTGATAAATTTAGATGTGGGCAAACCGCAAGACTGATCGGATAAGTGATTACTTAAAGTCATCCCCAGCAAATGCGAAACTATGAGATTTGTGGATGAGGTGGAAACCGAATGAAGACTTGGGGAGGGAGTCCGCAGACCTAATTCAGGGGAAAACACCCAGGTGGTGAGCATTATTTTTATATTTTTTTATTAACACATCGGCCGATTCCCACCAAGGCAGGGTGGCCGGAAAAAAAAATTTCATCATCATTCACTCCATCACTGTTTTGCCAGAGGCGTGCTTTACACTGTAGTTATAAAACTTCCACATTTACCCCTCCTTCAGAGTGTAGACACTGTACTTCTCATCTCCAGGACTCAAGTCCGGCCTGCCGGTTTCCCTGAATCCCTTCATAAATGTTACTTTGCTCACACTATAACAGAAGCGCACCAACTGATTAAACTTTTCAGTAAATTCTCATTTAGCAAGCCTAAGAGTAGCATGAAGGAATCTAAAAAAAAGTGGCATTCACGGCTCATCTGATAAAGCATGTTAAGAAACTGGACAAAATACAAAGCGTATGGATTGAAACTATTCATAGAACTTCGGAAAATGAGTTACTTAATTTGTCGAGAAAAGTGGTAGGAAGAACCAATGAACATAAGTTCATGACATACAAAATACTTAGAGGACTTGTGATGGGGTGTACAGTGAGAGACTGTTCGATAGGTGGAGTGCCATACGGAGGTTAAAGACACAGATAAGTCACAAGGACGAAAGTATTTCTTCAGCTTCAGTATATTCTGCAAGGAGAATGACCTAGCCCAAAAGATATTTGAGGCAGGATCCACACATAATTTTAATATCAGGTATAACAGGGCCAAGAGGTTAGGATCATCAAATTAAGAGGTACGCAAAGAGCTAGGAGGCTAGTAGCATCAACTTAAGAGGTAGTGAACGAGCTAGGAGGCTAGTAGCATCAACTTAAGAGGTAGTGAACGAGCTAGGAGGCTAGTAGCATCAACTTAAGAGGTAGTGAACGAGCTAGGAGGCTAGTAGCATCAACTTAAGAGGTAGTGAACGAGCTAGGAGCATCAAACTAAGAGGTTGCCAACATGTTAGGAAGCTAGTAGCACAGCTAACGAGGCAGGCAACGAGCTAGGAGGCTAGTAGCATCAACCTGAAAGGTATTCAACAAGCTAGAAGGCTAGTAGTATCAACTTAAGAGGTAGTCAACGAGTTAGAAGGCTAGTAGCGCCAACTTAAGACGTAGTCAACGAGTTAGGAGGCTAGTAGCATCAACTTAAGAGGTAGTCAACGAGTTAGGAGGCTAGTAGCATCAACTTAAGAGGTAGTCAACGAGTTAGGAGGCTAGTAGCATCAACTTAAGAGGTAGTCAACGAGTTAGGAGGCTAGTAGCATCAACTTAAAGGTAGTAACGATTAGAGCTATACATAACTTAAGAAGTATATAACATATATAGCGTACATAAGTTAAACATTGCATTCACAAATAGATGAACATGCACAACTCACAAGTCATGTCAATAGTGACAGCAGCGGTAACAGGGACAGCAGACTCAGCATTGTTGGCCTGACATATGAGTGAGTGATGGAGGTGGTGACGCTGGAGTGACGGTACTCTCAGAGTGTTGACCACTTCCCTGGGTCCCTCCACCACCTCCCCAGGAACCTCAGAGTGGCCCGACCACCACGTCACACGCGGCGCTGGCCGACCTGACACAAAAATATTTAATTAGGAACAAGATGACAATGCAAGCAAAAAAATACTGATAACAAACATCAGTAGTAAAAAAAACAACGAACCCACACTGCTAAAATTTTATGTTATTCATGGAAAAAAAACTAAATCCCTTAGGGGGTCATATTTTTCTAGGTAACAGGATGCAACAAATATCAACAGGTGTAGGAACTCTTAGTGTATACATACCTAGAGGTATATAAGTGTGAGATAAAATTTATACTAACGCTCACTTGCTGTGTGTGGGTCGTTAAGGTTGTATTTCACCTGTTCAGTAAGTGCAAGAATAATTTAATCAAAGAATGTAGGGAATAGGGTAAATTCTTAGTCAGTTTACTGGGTTTAAACCTCATCAACTACACTCGGGTCATTGTAGCAGCAAGTAACCACTTCGTTACCAGTTATGGGTAATTTAATAATAACTAGGAAATAACCTAAACTATATTGATAAATATATACAGAAACACAACGAGAAACTGTAACATGACAAAATTTTCTTTCGTACAACAGGACTGTTGTCATATAATCAGATCTATATCATCCGTTACATCAAGTAACGAATCTATGTTTCATTTGGTTGATACATTAATTTTGAAACCTATCCACTACGCATACATACTAATGAGGCTAAGTGATGTATCACTGTAAATTCACTGACAGATATACACTTCTCGATATACATTCACGGAGAGAGATATATACCTTGTGCTGTGTATATTCTGATATTAAAAGATCGAATTTAATGTATAAAATAATAAAAATTCTACCATAAATATTGTTTGGAGACTTATTGTTAATCCTGATATGAAAATTTGGCATTGATGAAAATACTATAAATGTTTTCAGATGAGTTTCTGGCTTCATCTGCTCACTAATTTCTCGGTTAAAGTTCCCGGGGAAACAAAATTCTGACCTATGGTTGCCAGTTTGACTTTTTAAAAGCCGAATTCCAGACTTTTGGCATTTTTTCAAATTAGTTGGCGTCAGAAAATTCATTTGGCTGTTTGGCTTTTTACTGTTTTTTTTTTTTACATGCTAAAATTATCTGCACGAGAATTATATACAATCCATTTTCTAAATCATTTTCCTTTAAGAGAAATATTTTTGTTCAGTTACATTTGGCAATATTTCTGAATGCAATAGTCTGGGCAAGAAGGCCCCAACTGACAGGTTTGAACGCGGTGAACAGGCCAGGCTCGAGCTCCGGGTCCACTTACCGTTCAGCAGCACAATCAAAGCTTGATACAAAATTCAAACGAAGACTCCTAAAGGAAATGATATCACACTACAAAACTTCTTGTTCCCTGAGTTTACAACGCCTGACGCAGCCCCAAGTTGATCCTCATGAGTTGCACCAACAACTCTTCTTATTGATAAATTAGACACATGTGTAACTCTTGGGTATCTTTATTGAGGAAACGTTTCGCCACACAGTGGCTTCGTGATGAAGCCACTGTGTGGCGAAACGTTTCCTCAATAAAGATACCCAAGAGTTGCACATGTGTCTAATTTATCAACATGTCGGTTCTCTGAACCATTCATCTACAAACTCTTCTTATACCGGAAGAGTCGTCACAACAGACCGTGTGATGCCAGAAGACAGGAAAAAAATATTCATCAAGTTTATTTTGGTATCAAATTCTTAACGGTATGTAATAAGTTCCTACAGCAGAATAACATTGCTGAGGATCATCTAGAAATAAAAACTGTCGAAGAAATAAGGTCTCAGTCAAGTTACATGTAGACTTCCGTTCAGTAGCTCCATCGCTAGCGTACTCAGTTCACACACTGAGGTCTGGAGTTTGAATCTCCTGTACGGCTGGAAAACATTAGGGACATGTTTCCATAAGACACCTGCTGTCCCTATTCACCCATCAGTTTAAAATGGGTACCTGGGTGTTAGTCGACTGGTGTGGGTCGCATCCTGGGACAAAATTGACCTAATTTGCCCGAAATTCTCAGCATAACAAGCGGCTTTCTATATAGTAGTATGTCGTTGATATCAGCTAGGACTGTATACCTTGTACATGTACTCGTGGAAATAAACATATTATTAATATTATTTGAAAGTTTACTAAAATTGAGCACTGTGATAATTTGAAAATTAAATTTCATGACCTGTATTTCCCGAGTTATAATTTGTACACCATGCACGAAACAATGTCAGTACCATTGAAGGACAACACAGAAAAATGCGTTTTGTCGATTGTAGAGAAGAAGTGTCATTTAAGAAGGATGAATTCCTCACAGACAATGAACAATTTTGTATTGCTGTACTTCAGCATCAGATATTTAAAGAACTCGCCAGGTTTGTTTTTCCTGAATAATAACCATTGTCAGCAATGCTATAGCTGAGTGGGTATTTTCTCTTGTATCCTCCGTTATAACGAAAACCAGAAGCAGAATGCAGCTGAATCTTCTTGATGCTGTTGTGAAAATCAGGACAAAGCTATTGTTTTCAAGGAAATGTTGCAAAAACTTCACTGTATCGCCAGAAATGCTAAAAACCTTCACATTTCAGGAGGGAGGATAATAATGACCTGGATCTGGAGCTTTTCATGTGATGGGAGTGTGAAAAAATATAATAAAAAATTTTGTCCTTTTTTTCTGTTTTTTTTTTTAAGTATTGCTTGGCTTTAAATTAAATTTCAATCTGGAAACCTTGGGCTGGCCAGGTTTACCAGGAAGCATGAGAATGGCTAAGGAAACGAACAACTAGACAATATATTCTTCTTCTAGATTGGCCGGAACTATCCTGGCCTGGGTCTTTTCCAGATGGTGACCCGGCCATGGCTCCTTGTCACGGGAGTGTCATGAAAGGCATCGGCGATGTCAGGAAGGCAAAGGAAGCAATAATTGCAGGGTCCTTCTGGAGCCACACCCCAGCTTTAGGCCACAGCTCGAGCGCTAGAAAAGCTCAGCTTCATGATGGTTAACAGGAAGCTTGTTAGTGGGAGGTAACGTTTTGGATGTTTCTAAAGTTTATTCTTGAGACTTGAACAAGTTTAATCCTGGTGATGAAGTCCCCTAGACACTCCTCGATGTCTTCAAGCATTTCTTGACTGCTGTGTAGATGTTCAGGTTCTCCGGTAAACTTGATACTATCATCCTGGAGTCGAGTGTAGAGTTCTTGGCAATACATTGCATCACTGTATTGGTCAGTCGGGTAGAACCTTATGCCTCGCGATTCTGCGTACTTAGGCGATAGCATTTCCTTTAGCACTGCACCGAGTATTGCTGTTTTGTCAGGTGTGAGGACTTTAGGCGAGGACTGTGATTGGTTGGTAGCAGTGGCGGTGGTCGGTGGGCTGTCAGTGGATATCTGTCGTAGATGGCGTGGCAGTGGTAATATTTGCAGGAGCAGAGGAGGACGTCGTAGATGGCGTGGTGGTGGGGGCATTAGTAGGATTCACGTCGCTGGCTGAGCGAGTACAATGCTCTGGTGGAGGAATGCCATCTGCAGGAACTCCGAGGTTGATGTTTTGTGAAGTAACCTTGAAAATTTCTGCTGAAGATGGCGAATCAGGGAAGGTAAGACTGAGGATGTTGTTGAGTCTGGAGAGGTCATTGATTGTGGAGTAGCCATATTCTGCAAGTGCGCACACATGATGCAGTAGTATATCTTTGTTAGAGCACCGTCGGGAAATAGAGCAAGTATATTGTTGGTGGGAGACGCAGGTAACGTATCCTTGAGAATTTTGGTGGTATCAGTTTGTACCTTGATGATGGCAGCGTATGTTAAAGACCTAGTAGGTTGTTTCTTTGTTCTTCTTCCAGGTTTCGTCTCAGAGGACACTTGACGGCAACGTAGTGGTGGTCGCTCTTGCAGTTCAGGCATTTAGGTGGAGCGGTGGTGGAGCAGCCACAGGTGGAGCAGAATTTCTTGTCTATGATAGGGCAGACCTTGGTGGTTTGCTGGTAAGAGTAGCAGTTCCAGCACTGCGAGATGTGTTGGTATCGTTCTTCTTCTATGTAGCTTGGAGTGATGCAATAATATAAGATGGCCATACCTTCAGCGAGAGCTTGGGCAACCATGCTTACGTTAGTAAAGGTGAAATTTAGCATTGACGAAGCATTAGGGATTTTGGAGATGTGATCTACGGTAACCCAGTCGTTCTGATCCTCAGTTAAAAGTCTTGGGACATCGATGGGTTGAGTAGTAATCAGCCTTTCAAGTTGTTTAAGGAAGACAGTCCTCTTGGCCCTCAGGGCTGGAGAGGACATGACTGGGAATCCTCGTTCAATATGAGTGGAGTTGGCAGTAGTGGTGATGAGTTTGTCGGTCTCGATATCGTCATTGCAGAAGACATTAAAGACGTCATTTTCCATTAAACTTGACCTGCAGGCTACCCCTGATGGCAGTTGCAAGTGCTAGTCTGGTTGAGTCGTTGACTGTCCCACTACTGGGTGTGATCTTCATACGATTGGCGTAGTTCATCTTGGCGAACCATAGATGAAACTAGTGCTCAGAGGTAAAGGTTCCGCCCTGCCCCCCAACAGGGATCACAGGGAGAGAAGAGTGATGTAGACAACATCTTACAGAAAGAGTACATTGTTGTTTTTTTCTGAGTGGGTACAGATCATGGGGGCAGAGGTCATTCTAGAAAGGCTTGGATGTACAGGTGAGAGAAATTTTCATTAACAGGACAGTGAGCATCTAGGATGTTTGAAGATTAGGAATGAGAATGAAAGGAGACACGTGGTTTTTGGGGATTTCACGTGCTGTTTGAGTGTGAGTGTGGAAACGTTTATGGAGAGAGTCAGGGAACTCTATGAGCAGGAAACGAATCTGCTAATAGGCACCTCCTCCCTGTACCTTCGCACTTCCTCCTTCCAAAAGTCCATCTAGTCTTTCTTCCTCCCTCTTTCCTTCCCTTCCTCCACCACTCCATCTAATTTTGCTTACTTTCTTCATCCATCGACCCAGTGCACCCTCCCTTCTCGCTCTCTCCATCAGTTCCTCTCACCCTCCAAC